ACCTTTAAAGTCTTTCTCTAGACACGAAATTAATTTCCTCCCCGCACTGGCAAAAAAACACCTCACTTCCACCTCCCCCTTTCCTGCTTTAGCACGCTCAAGCGCTCTCGGCAAAAGGTTCAAGTCATGCTGGTGAAACGTTCGGAGAAAAGGGACCAACGATTTCCGGGGAATTTTTAAAGAGGCCACCATGGCTAGCCCTTCATTGATGTAAATGCGGGCGGTGCGAGCCGCGGCCCACCTACCCAACACTATGATCCTGTCTAAGGATCCGTGACGCCCAAACCAACAGGTCGCCCCACCCCTACGAAGGCTGTAAGGGCGGAACTCGAATTGCTCTAAATGCAACGCCTTCACACACTCAGAGAATTTCTTTCGCCATTGGTGTGGTGCAGGGGTAAGGGGGCAGCGCGAGGAGGATGCATTCTTCCATGCCCAAAGCCACTGAAGGGCACTTGTCACAGAAATGGTAACACTCTCAGAAGCGCCAGCTCGCTTTCCTGACTTTGTCAGGCCCAACGAAATTACTGCAGGTTTATCGGGAGATGTCATCAAAATATGGTGATTGCATAATCCAAGAATCTCCCCCCGTACGCAGCAGTCCGTAAAAACCTAACAACAGGCTCAAGCCGAAGGCGTACTCTTCATGGAAAAGGCACCAGCCCAGCATTGCCTGAAGGCACTCTTCCGGGAGCGGGGGTGCACGACTGGGTATTTCATTGACGTGCCACGTCTTCAGGAGCCTCCATGTGACCTGAAGTTGCCCTTTCAAGCGTGGTTCTGTGTCTTGAAAACCCGCGACCGTGTCACTTGCCAAGGCACGCCCCTCTCCCTCACTCCATAAGTGTTCAACGTAGTCGGCCAGCATATCATCGAAAGCCGAAAACTTGGTGGGAATACTCAGGCCGTTGGTGTGAGCGTAGTCATAGAACTTTTGCTTTGCGAGGCTGTATCGTTTCCTGGTCTGGGGTTGTACTGTGAGTTCACGCAGGCTTCCCAATGCTCGTCTGTTTTTCGCTCGTTCTTCCTTGCTATGGCCCTCCAAGTGCTGCTTTACTTTCCCCATTTTCGCTGTAGCGGCCGCCGGCTCGGCCGGTCGGCGGGGTTTTGAGCGGTATGCACGTATCCCCAGATGGGGTGGAGGTCCGCAGCAAGGATGAGCGGGTTGATCCGCATCAGCACATGTCTCAACTTTCTAGACGAGCTCCGACCACGCGACAAACTATGCAAGCACACCAGACTGTCCGTCAAATGTAGGAAACGTTTGCTGTGTCCACCTCGACGGACCACCAACCACCTCAATGTAGTAAGGATAGCCCGTAGTTCAAGCACGTTGATATGTTCCCCTGAATGTCGCCAATGCCAACTGGTGACCTCACGCCACCTCCACAACTTTGCGGGCACGCTCGAACGCAATCTGTGGAACTTGACCTGGGGCTCACTGACAGCCGTGACCATGAGATCTTCACCTTTCATGGACACCAGCCCAAGCAACTTCAACAACAGCGGTTTCTCATGCGACTCCACAAGCGTCTTGTTCGAGGACAAGGGCGGGCGAAGCAGAATACCTTGTAACGTGCCACTGCGGCCTGGTGTCAAGCGATCCACGATCTGCTGGAGGTTGTGCCGTCGACAGAAACCAAGGGGTCCAAGGAGTTGTTCCAAGAGCCAAGTGATCACTCCCACATGCCAGGAGTTGCCTATCAACGACAGTCGAGTGTCTTCCCATAGGGTTCCAGTCTGTTGGTTCTTCGGGAGGCAAGGTCGAGTATATCCAACCGGTATGCACATGATGGCCTCCCTCTCTTGGACATTCGCTCTCCGTGCTGCACCTTTCCGGGTCCAAAGGAGATTGTGATCCCGATACTGGTACGGGGGAAAGCGATAGCCATCATCTACCCACCGTTGTCGCTCATGTGGCGCACACCGTCCCAGCCCAGCTGGCCGGAACCCCGGCTCCTCACGCGGACGCGAGGTTGTAAAGGTTGGCAGACGGTAGCCCTCCGTGACAAACCATCCCTGCTCCAAGAAGGCCTGCTCCTCCACCTGGGCCTTCAGTTCAACCAACCCACAACCGGTCCACTCCGAATCCACCACCACGGGAGGGGTAACGGTGACGCCCTCTCCCTCTGACAAGTCCCAATCCACCCAGTATAGGCGAGGACGATGACACAGACTAATGCTGCCAGAGTCAATCTTGTATGGTTGCAACCCCACTGCGGCGCTCATAATGCGGCGATCTTCCTCTCCCATAGAGGCGACTGATTCCATCAACAATCTCACCTGGGCCCAGGGAAAGTGGATCTTGAAGAGCTCCTTGATACGGGGGACTTCCTGGAAGAGGCTGCTACGAGCATCTCGCAAGGCTCCCTTCTTTGAGGCGTTGAGCCCGCTCACGCCTTGACAAGGCGGTCCCGCACCTATCAGGATGAGAGACACGGATGGGAAACGCATTGCCAAGCCTTTGACCATCTTGTCGTCCACTGTCGTGACGTCATCATGAAATATGGTATCTGGGAAGAAAGCTTCAACGACGCGACGACCTGTTGGCTCCTTCTCAACGCTCAGGTGGCCGGCCACTCCAACTCCCAGGCTATCGACTGCCAGTCTCAACGCCCCCAAACCATCAAACAGTCCCACAGTCAACACTTGCAGAACCTCCCCCTCAAGCGGGAGATCACCACGACTCTCCGTGTTCAAAGCCGTCATGCCATAACCAGTCAAGCCTTCGCTCACACACACTCCTCCGCCGGACGTGGATGCATCACTGCACGTCACGTGGTCCATGAAAGGACACCGGAAGTCAATCTGTGCCAGAGGGGTCAACAAAGTGAAGATCATCAACTCTCTCTGGACTCCCACGGGTACCGGGAGCCGGACAACAGGCGGCAGGTGCTTCAGTTTCTCCATGAACCTCCATACCTCATTCAGAATACCCAATAAAGGCCTCCGGAACATGGTGAAGTACACGAAACCCCCACACACGACTTGAAGTTCCTTTAGAGTACAGCTGCCTCTCTCTACCAGCATCACGGCCAACCTGCAATACAATGTGACCTTACCCGCCTTGGGTTGGGCAAACCCTTCAACACCATCCAGAATGGCCCCTTGAATCTCCGCAACCGGAGCTCGTTCCACGGCCTTCTTCGGGTGACGTGGGATGCCCTGTGAGGCGTACTGCTCTCTCAGGTCTTGCACCGCTTGGGCTACGCAACCCCCAACTGCTTTGGCTGTAGCTGGATCAAAGCGCTCTACCAAATCAAAGTTGTCCAAGTAAACCCTATACTGGTGCTTGGCTGTGCTGCTAACCCTGTCTTTGCGCATTTCGCAAGCTCCCCCCAATGTTTTGCTGTCTTGCTGGCTCCAGGTGACAATGTTCCGGTGTACGTGCTGTGCAATGGACACGCTGTTGAGGAATCCCATTGGCAACACACACGCAGTAAGCACGCAGGGGCGTCCACGCCACGCATCAGGAACCAGGGATGGGGGGACGAGACGGTTGAATCCAAGGAAGCGTTTCCACGAACTCGGAACCCTGAACAGATAAAAGAAACAGCGCACATCTTCTGAACTGATCAGGGCCATCTCCCCATCTTCCAACAAAAATGACCCAAAACTACTGATGTTCGGGAGAGTCATGACGTCTCCCACCAACGGGTCACACAAGCGGTTAAGTGGCACCAGATTCATAATTAACCTCTGTGTCTCAATGTTCCCAATAAATTCTCCCTTACCAACTCCAAACATCCCGTTCAGAAGTGGCACCTGGTCGATGTGGAACAGCTGGTCGGTGGGCATGACTTCGCAAATCTTCTTGGCGATGAGGCCCTCACAAATGGCTGGCCAGTCGTCCCCCACCATGACCCTGGGGGCTCGGGGACATGAAAGATTGCTGGTGTCAATCAGGTGATCCTCAAAGTGGTCCAGGTAGTGAAGGGTGCCCTGAGTACAAAAGTCCCTCAATTCCAGACAGCCTACTTCATCAGGGAGTGACATCTTCACCGCATCCCAAGTCAGTGTCTGAGCCACACGAACTTCCTCACCATCGTAAGTCACCCCCCTTTTTGCAAAGAAGTCCTTAAAGTTGAGGGGCTCCAAAACTTCCTCCCAGACCTTGAAACGATCGCAGAGCTTCCCCAAGTTTTCCACGATCCCCCGAGGTTCTCTCTTGGGCGGTGGTCCTTCTCCTTTGCCGCAGGCAAGCATGTTAAGACCAAACACCAAATCTGCTGATGCTGTCTCACATTTCGTCCCTGGCTCCAGGGGTAGAGGAAGTGGGAAAAAATCCTCGGACTTAGGTTTGGGGTCCTCTACCATGTGCTGCATGCGCTCAGTTCCGATCTCATGAAGTTTGGTCCTGGCCAAGGACATGACTTGCCTGAAGCTGCTAGGTGAAACCTTGTTCTGTACAGCCTTCTTCAACTCGCTCCTGCTCCCCTGATCCCTTCGGGAGCACTCTTCAACATCGGCTGTAGTGCCGTGGTCTCCTGCCCCTTGGGCCGGCACATGTGACGAAGCTGCAACCCGACCCAAGCCTGGATCACTGCCTGTCGCTACTCCCTCAGCATGGGAGTTCAATACTGAATTCAGATCGGGATCAGAAACTAGTGGTGGTGTCGTAGATCTTGCCACGTCTGCCAACGCTGCACGACCGAGTTGGGGCGTCTCGCCCCCGTGAAACGTGTTTCGCTCAACCAGCTCTCCATATTGGCCCAATGCTCTGTCATTCTCCACCGGGAGAGCGCCATCAGTAGTGCGGCTCCCTCCCTCTCTCCCTGCTGACTTCTCCTCACCAAGGTCACTCTTCACTCCTTGTCGCCCTTGTCGTCCTTCTTCTTGCCGTCTCCTTTTCGATGCCCCTTGTCCTTGCTCTTGCCATCGCCTTTTCCTTTGTCTCGCTTCCCTTTGTCTCTTCCTTTGCCACCTTTGTAGGAATCCCTGTCTTCCCAAGGCCACCTGTTCGTGTTGCGTCTCATAACACGATCCTCGACCTGCAACTCTCGGCCTGCAGCTCCTGCTTCGGGCACGCTCACCAAGCTTGGGCGCTCTGGCCCCACCAGCTCCAGCCTCCTGGCGATCTCGATGGTGGTTCCACGTGACATGGCCTCGAGGGCTTTTAGTCTTTGCCCGGCCACATCCAGCGCTGATGCAATGCGTCCGCGCAGGCTCAGGTCGATGATTGTAGCGAGATGTAGTGATTCCCTTGCTAGGGCTGCTCCCATCTGCTGCTGCAAATGCGACCGAAAATACTGGGTCGCCACGGGAGCCACCGCTCCCTCTTCGACTGGGCGATTGGTGTAGCCATGTGCCGTGATCATCTGTTCTTGCATGTCCAAGATCGTGGCATTCAACAACGCTCCAGGGACACGACGCCAGATCTGCAATGATCTCCTCTCGCTCTCGAAGAGCTCTGACCCTGCAATGTGCTTCTCGGCCAGGCTGGTGGACTCGCTCGAATCTCCTGAAACCTCCCCCGACGTTCCCTTGCTCCTGGACCGGGAGGATTTTTTCTTCTTTTTCTTTCCCTTTCGGATCTTTCGAGCTTTCTTCATGAGCTCTCTCCTGACCTCGATGTCTGGATCCAGAGCTGTGTGCTTGAAGACCTCCTTGATGCCGGCTTCCAACTGCACTCGCACCTTTGTCTTGCGCTTCTTTCCCTTCTTCTGCGGCCTCTCCTCTTCGACCTCCCTTTTCCCTTCGGGAGCTCCTGCGTGCTCGGGAGAGTATTGAATCTCTCCCCCTTTTGTCCTTTCTCCCATCTCTTGTCGTAGTCGATGAAGAGGGTCGTCTCCTCCTCCGCCAACTGCTCTCTCTCGGGAGACTTCGGCCAGGTTGCTGTGCCAGCCCTCGGCCTCCCCTCCTGGAACGTGGTAGCGGTGGCCGTGGATCAAATCCCTCGCCCACACTAGACGATCGCATGGGTCTGAGCAGATGTGCACCCGCATCTCCTGACATTGGCCTCCGAGCTCTTTCAACAGGGACTCTTGCTGGGTTCCTGTGACCCAAATCCTCCATGTGGTGTCGCCCTCGTTCACAACCACCCCACGAACCTCGCCTGCGATCATGACCGGGGCTTCCCAAAACATGCCCTCGATGACGACCTTCTGCCTTTTGTGAAGGGTGTCCAAAGCGATCTTGTTCAGGGCTTCCCAGACCGGCTCCTCCCGACCGGGAGGCTCCTCCGCCTCCCCCCGTGCAGGGCGTCTCAACACTCCTCTTCGAATCCTCCCGGGCCCACTGCAGGCCTCCTCCGTGGCGGCATGTCCTCTACCAGTATCCCCGCTCGAACTCTCGCCAGGCGCGGAAATTGGCGTTCCGCTCGTCCTTCTTCTTCCCCTTGTTGGGTGGAGGATCTCTGTAGGGATCTCGGTAGTGGCCCTTGTTACCCTTGGACTTGGCTCGAGCGTCAGTGGCTGCCCAGCTCGAGTAGCCCGGGGGTGGATGGTCTGGCTCACGTGGAGACGGTCGAACTGGAGGCGGTTTTGGTGGGGGTGGCACTGCTCTCTTCTGAGCGTTGGTAAGGCCTGAGGCACTGGATGGCACCGGATGTCGGGGGGGTTCGGCGGACGAGACTCCGACTGGGGGTCCGGGACCTTGGCCTTGGGCTCGTCCACTCTTTTCCGGACTCCTTTGGGGGCGAGGGCTCTTTGCTTTCGTCGTGCCTAGGGCTCTCGGGCTTGCTCGATTTTCCTCGATCTCGACGACGACGGCTACGGGAGCGACGGCCTGCTCCCTCTGAAGATCTTGCCCTCTTCTCTCTTCGGTCTCGGCGGCGACGGTCTCTCGACTTTGATTCCTTCTGGCGACTGCCTTTGTCCTTTTTCTCAGGGTTCGGAGTTGAAGTTCTATCCTTTGCGATCTCTTTGTCCTCCTCGGTGTCCTTCAAGTCAGCCTCACGGGATGCACGCTCCGACTGGTCCTCCTCTTTCTTGCCAGCCTCTGTTCCGCTCCCCTCCTGGCCGGGAGCCTCAACTACGGGTGCAAACCCTTCCTCTGCCTGGGCCTTGTCCTGGGAGCTGACCGGCTCGGTCTTCACGCGAGGTTGAGCTGGATTCTCTCCCCCAACCGGGAGAACAGGCGAACTGCCCACGGGAGGACCAGGAGTGGCAGCTCCTGTCTCCACAGCGTCCAGCAGCTGTGAATGAACCTCCCTCAAAAGTGAAAGCCCTCTCCTCTGTACGGCTCCGCTGCACTCGGGGTCGTAGAGGAGATGCACCACGCGCCGCACAGTCAAGCACAGCGCACAGGTGCAGCTCTCGAACTCATGAACCATCCGCTGAGCCGAGAGGCTGCGGAATTCAAAATAGCGGGTTGTTCATCCTTAAATTCGGGGCGAAGGTCATATAGCGTATATAGATATTGTATTCCCCGATGGAGCGTGTTAGAAACACTTTGGTGCATCGCAAGTGTGAGGCGTTTACGGATCTCTCAAACACACCCGGCATGCGTCCACGTGTGTCACATGGGCGCAATCTCCAGCGACGGCAACACGAACGTGCCTCCTCAGCATGTCTGACTAAGGCCTTGGTTGTGGGTTTGTTGGGTTCCGGTCATAAATCAATTTCCCATCAACTTCAACATAAAACTAACACACTAAAGCTGAATTCATGAAAGCAAAATAAAGGAGCCAACCCGGGTCACTGGAATCAAACATATCCTGAAGCACCGAGTCTATGTGAGGAATCGGTGTGCGGTTTGATGACCGAAGTCGAAGTCTAAGTCTATATGACCTGCCGGTGATGAGCAACAACAGGGCCTACACCATTCAAAAAACTACAAGTACACAGTGCCATGAATCTATATCATGTAGAAAATGACCAAACTGTCGATCGAAGTTCCTGTAGATCGAAGGCATCCCAGGTCTGCAAGCCCATCGGTTAAACACTTGCTACCCAGGCACTGCACAGTGCTCATCAAAGCTCAACATGCCACGGGCCTCGGCAACTCCAGTCGACAATGTCGGGCTCTTCAGCAACCGCAAACAAGAACCAACCAAACAGAACGAGTGAGAACGAGTCCGGTACTTTTCAGCGAGTGACGTAGAGTGACGAACTGGTTCCCTCAACAATCTGATCATAAAGGGGGATCTAGAAGGAACCCTGATGGAAGGATGGAAGTCCTTGTATATGTTGTTTTGCATGGACAGCTTTGACCATCCTTCACTCGCCACCGTGGATCCCGTTTTCGAATCACGGATCGGTCGTCGGTCGGTCGAGCGGTTTGGAACGATGTGCCCGACGGATCAGTAATCAATCAGGTTCAAAAACTCTTTCATCATATTTCATAATATGGTAAGGCCAGAATCTTTGATTTACAAAAAGTCAAACAAAGTCAGATGGAAACGTCAAAGTCAAAAAAGGTAAAATAAACAAGGCAACAAAAACATCGAACAAAAGAAAGTACCAAACAATTCGGAAAACACATCGGAAAAAAAAAGGCAGTCAAAAAAACAAGTCAAATTTGAACACGTGTCAAACAAGTTAAAACCATGTCAAAAAAAAACTCAAAATTAAGGACAAAAAACACAAACGAAAAACAAATCAACACACAGTCTTAAAAACATGTCAAACACGTCAACATTAGGAAAACAAAAAAGTAACACAACAAATCGGAGCTGGGCCAATTGCTTTTTTTTTTGACTTTCCGACACGTTCTGATTTGAAGAACCCAAAAGAAATCATGATTCGCGCGGTATGGATTTAACGAAGAAAGAGCAAGCAGGTCACAGCGCGTGATTTAGCATGGTCCCTATGTTGGTCGGTTTACCTTCGCCCCCACCAAGGCCAGCCCTCCAACCAACCCCGGGCGGAGAATCCACTGCCCTCCGGGCGGCAATCCCCAGCATGGCCAGTGAAACTTCCTCGTCCTTCTGCTGATTGGCGGACTTGGCGACCTCTCAGAATCGGTCGCGTTTCGAGTTCGCCCCGGTAAGACCGGCGTGCTTACAATGCTGGCTGGAGAAGGGGGGGAGGCTTTGGTGAGCTAGAGAAGGGACATGTGAGGGACAGCAAGCGGTATTGAATACAACTTCGTGAACCCAAGCTGTCAGGATCTAAGTGGCTTGAGGTTGAGAACCGTTGCATCACCATCCCGAACAACATCTTCATTGACCGCGGTGGCGACCCCTTGTTCGGACCACCCCCGTACTACTCCAACATCGACCTCACATACTCCGTACTCCGACCCGCTCGTCTCTGTTCGGCGCTTCGTCCCAGACTCGCCTCCATCGCCTTCGCGAAGTGGTCGGCCGCCTCGTCGAAGCGGCCGTCCGTGGCATTGACCTGGCGGTTACGACCGAACGCGATTCGCTCGGTGGTGACCGTCCCAGTGAGGTCCGATGTAAACCGTACCACTCACCATGCGATGAGAGAGGATGTATTGTTCTGTATGAATTGGAATGGATTTGGATTTGTATGATATGGATTTGGATTTGACACCATGGTCATAGTCATAGTACGTCATATTGTAATGTGATGTCATATTGTCTTTTTATGTCTTTTTACTTGGGTCAAGAATTGGAACTGGAACTGCCATAAGAACATTTCAACAAAACAAACATTTCAACAGCAAACACACCACAGGTTCCGTTCTTTGTACACGGTGCACATGGTCAATACCTATTGGGAGTGCACTAACGACAGGTTTTGTGGGTCTCTTTTTTGGTGTTTCTTGTCATTTCAACGACATCAACACCCCCAAAAACGGTACCTGGTACACGGCGGCCACGACCGATGGATGCACGCGTCGCAACGGTCAGACCGGCAACGAAACATCGGTGTGTTCACCTGTTGAAGCCTCGAAGCGATAAACAGATGTTGTTTGGGAAAGTCCTGGATCGATCAAACATGCTCAAACGTCAGGTGAGACATCGATAATGTTGGATCTTGATTAGTAAAGGGCCCACCACCAAACAAAGGGGACCTCTATAATAAACTACCACCAAAACAAGTCTGGGTTCCTGGGAGGATTCCTTTTGTAATTTGATTGTAGTAGTCATGTTCCTTTCTCAGGTTCTTTGTAGTTAGATATTCTCAGCAGCCCTTTCTCTAAAGAATTGCTTAAGGAATTGGCTTAGTAGTATTAAGATCTATTTTTCTGAGGAAAAAAACTTTGCACAAATTGAGAACCCTTAAAACAAATTTACTATTGAGGATCAGAGGCCTTCCTGGTCTCCTACCTCCAAAATTTGTTAACAATCTTTATATAAAGGTTTGATTATGGAATTGAAGGCTTTTGGGAAGCTGTGAGTTTTGAAGAAACAAAGAAACCTATGATTACCAATCATACTCTCAGCAAGCCAGCTATTGGCTTAGTAGTATTTACAGATCTCCGCAGGATTTGAAACTCTCATTTTTCAGATTATAACAAATTAGGATCCCAAAACAAGTATATAGCATCATAGAGGACCCTTAAAACAAACAGGGTATCCATAATAATTTTCCAAAAAATTAGCATTATAGAGGACCCTAATACTAATCAGCATCAAACATTACACAAACGACTTGAGGTCCATTGCATACAGTGATAGGTGGATCATGCTAGATTCAATGGTACACCGATCGTCTTATGCCCTCTTCAGACCTATCGCCCGGGATCACATGTCGGAAGGCGCCTGGCCCAGCCGATGATAGGCATTCTTGCTCACCTCTTTGAGGGTATTCTGAGCAAACCTGCAGGGTATACGGTCGTCAGGAATGGGATTCACTGCTTTCCAAGAGAGGTTAAGTGACCTTATAGGACCACTCTGGGGTACCTACGGGTAGTCTATAAGGTTCTTCGGCGTCTGTTGGTTCCAAGTCGTTTCACCGCTTTCCAACATGTTTCCTCCCAACCGTTGTAGAGGAGATTCACACCCTTTACATGTGGGTGGTCTCTGCTTGGCATCGGGCAGGTCAAGAACTGCAGGTCCCGATGCTTTTGCCGAAAACAAACCGATGTCATCCATCTGCCACTGCATGGTTTGAGAGATGTGGTTTTGCGCGATCTCTTCACTACTGCTGATGGGCTAAGAAAAACCAGCTGATCTATGGCCAGTCTCATCCCTTTGATGACCCACCTCGACGACATGGAACGACGATTTTGTTACCCCCAAGGCTCTAGGAATTGGCATCCAATGGCCACCTTGACCACCTATGACTTGGGGTTCTCGTGATCTTCCACTTGACCACGTTGCGACATCGGACGACTCCGTTGCGACATCGGGCGCACTTGTTGTCAGCAGCCATGGACTTGGACCCACGTTGCGCGGAGCTCAAGTGGTACCTGCCATGGCCACGTGAAGCGTCCACAGCCGTGTCTCGCTCTGGAGCGGGAGCGGGAGGGCATCTCGGTGTGAAGCCGATCCAAAGCAACCTACGTAGCCTTCCAAAAGCACTGAAAATACATGGCTGACGTTCGACCAATGGTCCTGTAGTCTAAAAATGTCAAAAAACCATATACGGTAATTAGATGTAATTAATTGGAATGGCAGTTCCGACTTTCGAACCCCTTCAATCCGCGCTGGGTCAGGAATATGGGACATGCTCCATTCCGCTTTCCACCCTGAGTAGCACCGGTCATCTTCAGCACATCCGACTGGTCATTTCTCTTCGTGTTTGTGTAGCACATTTCGTCCAGTGGGCACTGGAGGCAGATCCGACTGGTCTGCAAATCCCCTTGGGCTGCTGAGGCAATCCCAAGGTTTCCCACCTGAGGTCGAAGGCGCACGACGAGACGAGCGTTTTTGGTGTTTCATTCGGAGGGTGTCGGTTCCTTCGATTTTCAATCTAAAACTATTTTCCCTCTTGTCATTTCACACTGGCAAAAAGTCAAAACGACAACGGCGCTTGCGTGCACAAAGCCATCCGTCAAACCAATCACCACTTCCATGAGTTTTTGCCACTCCATTTTCCGTGTTTATTTGCCACGTTTGGGTGAAACTCCGTGCTGAACAGCTCTGTGGCTTCTGTACCAGCCGCTCACCGATCGTTTGTGGCAAGATGCCTCTTCAACTCATCTTTTCCCAGTTTAATATGCCGCCTTTGTATCTTTATATCATCATACCCTTTAAGGAATAGGACGTAAAATCAAACAATCACAAAACCAAAGTGCAAAGCTTGCCACAACAAAACATATTACGCATCTCACAATGGAGAAGGGCACATTCACAGAGCAAAAGAAAGTCCCAATCTGATACATGGAATGACACCGTCCAATCCTCACAGTCGGTCAGAAAGAGCCGCGCAAAGCAAAAATGTTTCAAGAAGCACCACTAAGAAAGAAAAACCTTCCCACAAAGCGCACACGTTGCTCACAAACAAGCCAGCCTCTATGGAATGAGGTATCCATAGCAGTCCAACCTGAATGGTTGGTTGACCCCTGCACTTCAACAAGGCATTTGTAACAAGTATATTCAGAGTATTAACATGTATATACTCAGAGGAGGACTTGGAGACACCGCGTTTAATGGAAGCTTCTTCGTCTTCTTTGCTCCAGTTGTCATCCTGCGGAGAAGGCATTCAAACTAAAAAGAGCTGACTAAACACGAACTGGTAGGTCATTGAAGCTGCTGCAACTAGCAAATGGTGGCACAAACAACGACTCCTCCTGTTGGCTAAATATATCGATTTGGAAGGCGTCACATTGGACTGTGGCTGCATTTTCGGTCTTGATCGCCTGAGAGCCGAATGACAATACCACCCATACACTTTTGCTTTCAAGAAAACATGTTCTGGCTTTTATCACTGTCTGCTTTGTCTTCTACTCAGCATCAACTAAGGCACTGTATTGGACATGAACGCAAAGGATGAACTCACAGCACGTGTTGCAAAGATGGTCGCTCTGCTTAATCTTTGTTATTGCCCATTTCAAAGCTGTTCCAAAACAAGATGAATGAAATTCCGTTTGAGGTCTGCACCTTCTTCAAATCGTCTATGTCACCAACCGCTCCAGTGATTTTGAAGGCATTGCCGACCAACTCGAAGCCGCCATTGTCGTAGGTCAACAGCCGAGACATTCAAACTCAACCCTTTCCAACCGTGTGCTACTCGCATTTACTTACCAAAGGGCACAGCAAAGGAACAAGAGCATGGCAGAAAATCATACAAAGTCTTTAGTCTAAATCCTCTTTATCAAATTGAGGAAAATTATTAGAGTACATATTTAATAAATCCTGAGGAATGAACGGCCCTGCAATCTTCTCCCTAAAAGTCCTGAACCCTGCCAAGTTCGTAGCATAACAGTGTATTGTCTTGCACAGTGGACTTACCCTTCATCACGCTTTGTTTTGCGGGAAAAAAGCATGAACCTGAACGAACGGCGAAAATGATCTTCAACCGAACTGTCTGAAAGTCATCAGTGCACTGCTTTGGTCAGAGCAACGACTTTGCTGAAACAAAATGTTTTTACACAGTCATTGAATGCACTTCTCTGCAGTCCTTGCGGATTTGTCTCACCCAAACAGCTGGTGGCGCAGTCCCAGTACCACCTTGCAGGGAGGAGGTATGGCTGCTTGCATTACTTTATCTATCAACTTCGTGATTGTCCATATATATATATATCAACAAGTTTATTCAACTTCCATCCACCTCCTCTTTCGAACAGCGTGTGCAAAACAGAACCAAACACGAAAGAGAACCTGTTTCTGAAACACCGTCCTGATGTTGGCAAAAGAATTTGTTGGAGCTTACGGGCAATCAGCAGCTTCATGTGATAGGACGATGCGATGACAGCCCATTCCTTGTCTGTGCCGGTGAAGATGGGTGGCAAACCAAATGTGATGGCATCCTTGTCGATGACCCCGCCCACGTTCTCCTCCGCAATCGTTCTTGCACCTCCGTCTGTCTTCACATTCTTCACCCAAGAGAAGCCTTGCTTGGCGATGTTCTCCAGGTGAGCCCTCGCCGCTGCATTTTTCACACACGAAGGCAGCCCGGGACATCGCACAACCGCAAAGGGGTCGAAGTCCTCTTTCTCCAAATGAGGCTCTCCAAAGCCTGCTTGGTGGTGTAAATGTCTTCGCCGAAGTAGTTGTAGAAGATCTTTGCCAGGTCTTCGTCCATGCCCCAATCATCTTTCAGCATCTTTAGCATGTTAACCTCTGGTACTTCTCCAATGACAATGACTTTGCTGATGGTGCTCAAGGCTAAGTCGCTTGCTAGCAGACGAAACGGATAGCCAAACTCTGAAGATATCAGCACAACGCTGGCTTCCTTCGTCTCCTTGGTCCATTTTGCGATGGCCGCTAAAGCTGACTTGGCCGCCGCATTCGTATCTCCACTTGGTCCAGGTAGCCCCAAATTCGCCTCGTCCACAACGAGGCTGGGCATCCTACCACTCCTGATGGTCTTGTCAATGAAGGTCTCAATGTTTCTTTGTTTTCCTTGTAGTAGAACATCCAAGACATCCTTCGCCGCTTCTCCAGCTCAGATTTTTCTGTTGCAGGTCAAGTGCAGCCATCAAAGGTTTGCCAACCATATCGGCATCGCGCATGTTGACGGAAACGAAGTTGATCCTATTATCTTTCCTCTTTTTGCATCTATTGATTGCCTTGCCTTTGAGAAATGATTTGCCCAAATTCTTGCCACCCAAGACCAGTGACAGTCCTGTCGTTTCCATCAACTGCATCATAGCCTGCATCGCAGGATCTCTGTCAACAATTTTGCTTGAGCTCATGTGACGATCAGCAAGATCAGTAATGTTCTGAACATAGGTCTGGGCATCAGTCTTGTTCTTGCTGGCCGCTTTCTGCACGGCTGCCCAAAACCCCTTTTTTTTTCGCCCGCGTCAACACGAGTAGATAGACCACGTAGCTTCACTGAATGCATTGGGGCTGTTGTCAAAAAGCATGCAACCACACTTGCCAAAAGCACACATGCGAGTGCACCGGGCCATACGCGTGAGCCGGACATTTCATAAAGTGTAGTCAAGAGTATTCAAATAACTTTGAAAAATTCATCAAATGGGAACAATCAAATAACTTTTGGTCCGACCAACAATACATCTGTTAAGGCGGCTCTTTTCATTTTCAATATATTCACCGTCTCTCTTTTCGAGTTGCTTTCTGTTTTGGCGTGGGCATTCTTCAATAAGAACCATTTTACAGTTCTCAACACCGAAGTCATCAAACGATTTCATAGAGTTAGGATAGTGTTTTGGGGGATTTCTATTGTTTAGATAAGATATATAATCTCTTCTATGTCTTGTCATTCTTTGACATAGCTTTTCAGTTGTTGAATTTATATCCATATATTTTAATCATCTTTTCGTTATGTAGATATGTTATGGCATAATGTCCAAATGGGAGGCTTTCAAAATCTGAATGCCAGTAGCGTTTATGTCGCAGTTGCTTAAAGCATATTTAGTCTGATCCATGCAATAAATTTGATGGTTATTCTTTACAGTTTCTGTTCAATGTCTCTTCATAAGTTGTGTAACTTAACTGATTGCTCACTTTGTGCTTGACTACTCCTGTGCTTTTCTTGTGTTCTTTCTCATCACCATACACTTTATAACAATATGCCTTTGGTTTCAATCCTATAAAGTGAGTAACTATTTTACCGTGCATTTCATCTTTGAATTTCCCTAATACCTTGTTGTTTGATTTATCATGATTTGGATGTTCTGCTGGATAATCACTGAAACCCATGTATGCATGTATCTCCTCAAAGTCTTCATATAAGTCATCAGTCTCAACCTTGATTACATAACTATCAGTATCAGTATAGACCAACTTGATTTTATCATCATAGTTTGGTTTTAACACATCATAATAGAAGGAATACATGTGATTTTTTAAAAGTCTAAAATAGACATACCCATATAGATAGGTTTGTTTATCTTTTTCAATACTTACAAGGTCTTCATTTATGATATGTCTGTGTCTGAATAGCGGTTTATTTACCAGTTGTTGGAAGCGTTCAGGCGTATTGACAATTTCAAATCACCATGCTTTCTTACATTCTCCATGGTCTTGCCGTATGCGCTATTATTCATTAACGTAAACATTTTTTTTCAAAGTCATTGTTGGCATTCTTTCTCTTTTCAGTGTTGAATTCAATGAATGGTTCTAAGAAATGTGCTTGTTTAAAACTTATTGCTCTATGGACATTTTTTAAGACGCAATCCGTGTTGCAGATAGAATTTCGATGCTGATATGTGTAAAACATACTTTGTATCCATTACATTTAATACTAACTTATTTGTTTTTTCATCACTGGGCATCTTTTCCATAATAATATTTACGTATATCCTTTTGGACTTTTGAAAGCATATTCTCATTGATACTCATGATTTCAGGCGCTAATGGATAGTCTTTATGTAAATCATGTAGTTCTTCTGGATAATCTAAATCAACGTCTAATATGTATCCTACGTCATCATCATCATCACCACTATATTTCATTACTCTCTTTTCATCCTTTCCACCGTAATACCATTTAACATCACCATATGGCAGTTTCTTACACATTGCTAATCCGTAAAGGTTATTAGCGTCTAAATAACTTATGTATGATGGACGTTTAGATTTATCATAATCTTCTTTCATGTATTTATTGTCTGCTTCTACTTCCTTAAAGGAGCACTGTGTCATTCCTCCTCTTAATCCATGTTCAATCATCTCATACATTTCTTTTATGTGTATTTGTTGTAGTATAACTCCTGTCAATGATTAAAAAGGCAGTCCAAGAATAGTTAGGTGAAGTGATATAATATGCTGGGTCTAATGCCCTATTTTTTTCAAAAACATCAGTCAGTATATGTACATCAGTCATCAAATGCAAATCATGATATTCACCAAGGTGTTTAATGTTAAAATGTTTCCATACAACATTTGCTCTGGTGTAGTCTTTGTCAGTTATGTTTTCTGCAAATAATTTGCTGTAAAAATATTCTTTCTTTGGTAGTTTTGTTTCATCGAATTTCTCCCATGAGTTCATGTAGTCATAGGCATATACACCCTTATCAGTCAGCAAATTCAAACCAGTTTTAGATTTGATATATGGGTTGGTGCTTGTATAGCTGAAACGAGTTGCGCAATCTTTAATCTTTTGATTTCATTCATATTTGTTTAATCTAACTAACTTATCCAATGACGCAGTTGAGAAAGCGAAGCTGTCTTTAAACTGACAAGCACCAAATGAAAAGGTTATGAACTTTTCACTGTTTTGGGCTAATAGATCTATTCTTTTGTTTTGGTTTAGTTCTAAAGTTTAGTTCATTTGTTTTTGCTATGATTAAGTGAGAGTCGTAATTTTTAAGATTGAAAAAACATAGGAACTTAAAATACCTAAATGAATTTTCCAAATTGCATTTTACATTCACTGCGCCTCTGTATTTGCCTGTGAAGTGGCAGTGGTCGCGAACCTTTTCATCGTCAGGTTCAAATTTCTTACCGCAAATGGAGCAATGAGACGATAATTTAAAGACTCTAATTTTTGTTAGTTCGTTAATTCATCCATCGGTTTATTAAAATTTTTGTTTTCAAATATATTTTTCTTACTTTCAGTCAGTTTTTTCTACAAACTGTTTCATGCAGTCCTCACCTCTGTATAAATACGGTAGGCATGCATTATTCCTGCTTACTACATCTAGCATGTAACCACATGGTTAGGGTTCACATCTGTTTTCACCGCAACTGGAGAAGGCGACCTTTTCCCACGAAAACCTGAACTTTTCCCACTTTGGGGATTGCCTCCAGACAAAACTAAGACAAACAAATACTATATGTCTTTGTTTAACAGTTGATTGCTTGAACTTATATACAGTTTTGCACATGTTTTGAACACTTTCCCACTTTGGGGGCACCCCTCAACAACTCCCAAGGTCCAGGCAATGTGAGTGCCTTGTGTCCAAGTCAAGTCAAACCTGACAAAATCCCACGGAAATCCCAACTCTTTCTCATGCATTTCCCAAATGGGAATTTAGTAGGATTTAGTCAGTTCTGATTGCAAGTTTCCAGCACAGTGAAGAAGTGCCTTTCGCAGGACCTTCGCGAAGCTTTCGCAAGCTTTCGCGCGTGGGGTTTTAACACTGTCGGCGAAAATGGTTTTTCGTTGGGGCTAGAGACTTTCAAGGATTCATGCTGTTGCCCTGGCACGTCTTGCGTCCTCTGATCACTGACACATTGGTTGCTGAGGAACAGGAAGCCAGCCAACCAAACCATTTTCATTTTGGTGTGTTTTGGTTGGGTGCAACCCTCCATGAACAAGAGACGGCTCAGGCCAGTTTGCTCAGACTTCCAATTTGCTTTTTCCGGGGCTTTTTCCCGGGCCGGGAAAAAGCAAAATGGTTCAGACTAAATGGTCCAGACTTCCAATTTGGAAAGCAATTTGCCTCACAGATTTCCAATTGCTTTCTCCAGCCTGGAAACAATCAGCGCCGGCGAGGCTCGAGCCCACAATCTTCTGCTTATAAGTCCAGTGCCTTGTCCATTAGGCCACGGCTCTCTGAAAAAATTGCTTTTTCAGGCTTCGCAATGGCAAACTGGATGTCCAGGCCGCTCATCCACTTTGCCTTTCCCGGCTCAGACTTCCAATTTGCTTTTTCCCGGGCCGGAAAAAAGCAAAATGGTTCAGACTTCCAATTTGCTTTCTCCCGAGCCGGGAAAAAGGCAAAATGGTCCAGACTTCCAATTTGCTTTTTCCCGGGCCGGGAAAAAGCAAAAGGCTCCCGGGAAAAAGCAAAATGGTCCAGACTTCCAATTTGCTTTTTCCCGGGCCTGGAAAAAGCAAAGGGCTCAGACTTCCAATTTGCTTTTTCCCGGGCCGGGAAAAAGCAAAATGGTTCAGACTTCCAATTTGCTTTCTCCCGGGCCGGGAAAAAGCAAAATGGTCCAGACTTCCAATTTGCTTTTTCCCGGGCCTGGAAAAAGCAAAAGGCTCAGACTTCCAATTTGCTTTTTCACGGGCCGGGAAAAAGCTAAATGGTTCTGACTTCCAATTTGCCTTTTCCCGGGCCGGGAAAAAGCAAAAGGCTCAGACTTCAATTTTGCTTTTTCCCGGGCCGGGAAAAAGCAAAATGGTTCAGACTTCCAATTTGCATTTTCCCAGGCCGGGAAAAAACAACATGGTTCAGACTTCCAATTTGCTTTTTCCCGGGCGGGGAAAAAGCAACATTGTTCAGACTTTCAATTTGCTTTTTTCAAGGCCGGAAAAAAGCAAAATGGTTTAGACTTCCAATTTGCTTTTTTCCGGGCCGGGAAAAAACAACATGGTTCAGACTTCAAACTTGCTTTTTCCCCAATGGATCAAACCTCCAATTTGCTTTTTCCGGGGCGGGGAAAA